CTTTCTTTAAGTGAAGCTGACAGCTCATGAAGAGTGGGGAGGGAACTGATGCCAGATCACTGTTTGCCAATGAAGACTGCTGACACCCATCGCAGACTTAACAAACCGCTCCCATTTTCCACTCCATTGCTGCTCTTAAAATTCAATGTTAACCGCTTTTCGGGCATGTCCAATCAGTTTCTTGTCCCTGTGTGATGTGAGAGACGATGCTGGAATCATATCAGTGTGAGAGAGCCTGAAAGAACTGGATACAACTATCTTTCGCTTCTTCTGAGTTAATTCAACAAAGGTTTTTATCTCCAAACCAGCAGATACACTGGAGATGATTTATTGGCTCTGAGCTGATTTCACAGTGGCCATGCAGCCCCTGACCGTTTGCCATGTGGTGTAAGAGCTTCACGCTTGTGAGCACACTGGCCATTTCATGCACCAGCTGACGGCCTTGTACAGAACAGTACAGCAAAACATGGGAAGAAATAGTTCGGCACAATGTGTTGTAGATGTTGTAAAAGGAAAAGATCCACACCCAGATCTAGGGCTGTGCCAAAAATTGTGAGACCGAAAGAGCGATCACTACTTTAGACGATCTCGTAGATAAGGCGAGCGCATATTAATCGACAATGGCAGTAAGAGCGTGTGGTGCTGATGAGGATTTGTGCTCTCTTGGTTAGGAAGAAGCAGCCTGAACCACATGTCTCCTCACGTGTTCACAAGTTAAAACTTAAATCTGCACAATCTAACTAAAAGTCCAGTGTCTCTCTGCGTCCCCCTCCCTCTCTCTCTGATCCAGCTCCAGCTCCTCACTTTTTCTTCTCTCTTTCTCTCCTCTGGTGTTTCTCACCTTTATACTCCAAGTTACAAAAGTAAACGGCTATTTCCTTACCATATGGGAAGGGGGGAGAGTCGTGATTCTTTTTTTCCCCATATTGCGCAGTGTCCTACCCAGACCTCTGCATTTGTTTCAACCACTCCTCTTTTTCAGTCTCTTGTCTGAGTGACAGGTGTTTTAACCATCACAGTGAAGAGAAAATATTTTAGTTACTTCTGACCTACAGGCATTTTCTAACACAAGTTTACAGACTGTATTAATATAACATTAAAAAAAATTAATTAACAGTCTCAGTACAAAGAAGAGTAAAAAGAAGGATGCGTATTTTTCTCAAAAGTCGCTTACAATTTACATACTGTAGCTTTAAAAAATACAATAAAGATTTTGAAAAGAAAAAAATCTTACCAAGAAGCAAAATTCGTTTAGCGTTATGAAGGGTCTGTGGTCCCTGTGACCAAAGACATCAATTCCTTGTTAAGCAGTTAAATTACATTCACCTGCAGTTTGGACCGCTCACCATGTGGCGCCTGCTCCACGCACACAAGCTGCCTCTTCATGTTATTGCACTGAATCAGAGGTATAGACTAACTTTTCAATACGTGACTACAATCCATCATCAAGCCTGGCACTTTTTATTGAAAAGATTTTCAGTTACCTAATGTTCCTTCTATACTAGGGACGTCAAAAGTATTGAAAATGTGTTACTAATCGATACTAAAACCAGTATCGAAACTAGATACTAATTTGAGCAAGTATCGATGCTAAAAAAAAGTAAAGAACAAATCATATACACAAGACAGAAATGAATCTTTCCTGAATAGCTTTAGAATGATCATGAGCTGTATCAGAACAAGTATTACACCGCATAAACAGTGGATCACTAAAGAACCTACATGGACGACTGTGGATGTAAATGGTAACATTTTTATATAGCGCTTTTCCACCTTCAAGGCTCTCAAAGCACTTCATATCAAGGAACCACTCACCCATTCACATAAACACTCATACACCAGTGTACGCAGACACTGTGAGGCGAGATGGATTAAGTGTCTTGTACAAGGACATAAAAACAGTTTTCATCTGTCGGAACTGGAATCGCAACGCCAACCTGTAGGTCAGTGGATCTAACCGCTCTGTCAATGATGTTTTTTTCTAGAACGGGATAAGAACTGACAGCCTTCGGACTCTATGAACTGAGCTACCGTCGCTCCACTAATATGTAATGTTGAAAATCACATTCTGCTGTCTAAATTCTCATCATCATGGTAGTGGAATCAGAATCAAGTCTATTCCTTAGTATCTAAATGATTGAATTTTATCCCCATGACAAAACTATTCCATATACCAAAACAGTTACACAATGGGTCATTTTATAACAGACACCTAATCTTGCCAACAATCTAGAAGTTCTTTCTTGACAGCTAAAATACACTTCTGATCCCTCCACCGATTACAGATTCCAAGCTAAATTTCAACTTGCCAAAATCGTGTCAAATTCTCACTGAGAAAGTTTGCTAAAATAAACCAACCTAAGGGCATCACAAGCCAACCAAATATGAATGATGTCGATCAATATGTCTGCCAATTTGCATTCATTTTTTTGAGTATATTGAAACAGCTTTGAGTTTAGCACGTACTCTGTTGGAGCTTGAATGGAAAACAGTGTCCAAAAGCCCTGGATATGAGAGAGACGTCACAAGCATTGATCTTCAAACAAGCTTAGATAATGAAAATATGCTTGTTAAAAATAGCATCGCATGGTCCAACAAAAATCCCAGCTGGTAATTCTCAATACAGCCTTGAATATATGTTAAATACATGCATGGTTAATTTGATGTTGTATTCTGACCTCTTTCCATGTAATTAGTCATAATTAATGGAACTTCAAAGATTTCCTAAATTTATCTCGCCTCTTGTCCTCAGCACATTCTTTCAATTGGAAATGCAAAGGATGACATAGAGAGATTTATAATCTGTTTTAAATCTCTATTTTCAAAAGCTGTAGGTTAAAGGTGCACTGCGCAACTTTTCTAGTACCTATTTGTCTCCATGGAGATGTTATTGCTTTGCCTGGAATGTCCCATGGTAAGACATTAAAGATATACACATCTCATCAAGCGTTTATTCATTACGGGTGTTTTTATTGCTCAAAAATACAATAATTCCTTCTGTGAATAGGGGCGACTCCACAGATCTGAATTGTAATGTAGCGCCTGAACTGCTGTATCCCTGCTCGTCTCCCTCGTGATAGGTTTAACCTAAACTGTGAAACATTCTAGGAAAAGCTATAGAATTTCAGTGGAGACAATCAGGTGGCGGACCCTCTACTAGAAATGTTACGCAGTGCACCTTTAAGCCTGAAAAACTAAAAAATAGTCCCACTTTGCCCGTCATGCCACAGCGTTTTCTCTATAATACAGATTACGACAAAGCAATGAAATCCCTGTAGATCCGTGATCAGGCTGAGCACTTATGGAAATCTATTTATTTCATTCTATATTTGATTTACTTTGGGTTTAATGTTTTAAGATACTTGCTTACATTTTTTTTTTAAATAGTGGATGATAAATAACTGTAATTTATTCAAGTTTATAACAAGTATATGTGTTTATACTAGATACTAATTTGTTTCATTTGGCCCTAAGAGTGATACAGTCATCATTTGTATTCATTTAAACTGAAAAGAAGCACAAGAAGTTCAAGGTCAAACTCCTTTGCTGTCTCCCAGTACATTTGATTTTTTTCCTAACGTTTTACACCAAACTGTAGCTTTATCATTAATTCATTGCAAAGGCATCAGCAGGGGACTGAGCGATGGTCGGGCGCATCTAGGAATGTAGAAAAAGCACTTACAATTGCTAATAAACACAAAAGTTTACATTGGATATCAAGCACATAAAAACTCTGGTAGTTTAGTCTTGTCCTTGTGAGCTGTACACATGCAACGCTTCCCCAGTCCTGCTTCGAACCCACATTTATAGACAACACATTTTATAGATTCAGTTCAATTAAATAGGCTACGGAATATTTCTACGAACAACCAATACTAAATCTTGAAACCTGTTGGCATCTGATTCAGAACAGTAAAACTTTATTGAAGCTTGAAGTTGTCTTTATCTAACCAATTGCTCATAACACTGGCTACAAAATATTCAGTAGGCTATATGAAATAATTTTCTTTTTGGTGGCAACCTAATTTTATACTGTTACTGTCATAAAAATAAATTCTACTTTATTGTTGTATCAGTGCTCTGTTTCCAACTAAAATTCTTGGCCAGTCAACTTGCCCTTATACAGAGAAGACAAGCAGATGTCATTATCATTTGCTGCTGTTGAAAGTGAATCAAAACAGACAAGAGCCCTGCATACATCTGCTTAGTTTCAACATAGGCACACGCGTTTCACCACCACAAATCAAATTATTTTGACATGGTTTGATTAGTCTTGGCCATACTCTGTATGGAGCGCACTTTTTCACTTGTCCTCAATTCAATGAAAAACTCTGATATATATATAAAACACACTAAACTCCCATGTCATTACTGAAATCACGGACTTGGCAATAACAATGTAATATTGTCATTATGATTATTGAATTTAAGCTCCCGGCGGAGCAGCACTGACTGTGGAAAAGCCTGGAAGCATTAGGATAAGTAGAGCCGAGGTGGGCTTCCCCTGTCAATAACTGCTAATGTTTCTCTTGGCTTGACTCTCCTCCACGAGCCGCGCTTATAACTCTGCCCGTTCACTTGCTGGAGGTCAGGGAAATTATATCCGCTTGAGAAGTAGGCTATGGCCAGTGCGAGGTCGATTCAAATCTATTCCTACCCGTGCTTACACGGGTAAAGTACAGCAGAGTGTGGGAAAACTAGATCTTAAACAGTGAATGGAGAAAAATCGGTTAAAAGATATCCCTCCGCGCGGATTTATAGCGGTTCCTTTGATGTTATTGTTTTATAGTGTACAGTGGCTTTAGCCCACTTAAGACACGGCAGGGTGAGCAAGCTAGTGGAGATAAATGTAGAAAACACGGCATTTTCCTCGCTGTGATGCAGCATGTAGTATAGCAATGTCACCATGCATCCAACAACTGTAGGCTTAAGTAAAAGTACAAAAGAATTTTGACTTTGAGTTAGTTTTGTAGTGTTATTCCCTCTGTCTGATCACTCACCTGCGTTCCTCAGCTTCTTGTTGCGATACACAGAGAAGATGACGAGGAGGTTGCCCAGGATGTCAACAACTATGGTGAAGATGAGAAAGCAGCCCAAAGTTGTGGTAACCCAAGGCGGCCGGTTCAGGACGGTGTCAGCGGGGTCTGGCGTTGTGGAGCTGTTCAGGTCAGACCCATTTATAATCATTGTATACAGCCGCGGAACTTTCACAAAGTGGAGCCGAACAGAAGAAATCAGCGGAGCCTGGGTTTGGAAGACGCGGGTGGAGAGACGCTGTTGCCCCCCGCGGTTCTCATCCTTTCACCGCGCTTGGTCTTCTCTCGCTTCTCGGTGCTTTGGATGCGCGCTCTGGATGCCGGTGGTTGCTCTGCGCTTTGGCAGTGATGCTGCCCTTCCTGCGCTCTCTCGCCTCGGTATCACTCCAGCTCCGCTGTGCCATTCACTTTGTCGATACGCGTGTGTGTGTGACAACTTCAAACCTTCCCAGCATGTGACCAAATAGCCCGGGCAGGAGCGCTTTTTATTTACAGGGAGAAACACGGCCGCATGGCGGCGGTATGTAGGAATTGCATTATAAGCTCCCGAGCGCGTCCTACTTTTTTCATCCACGCTCCCATTCATGGCTTAGCTTTAGTTCAGCTGCCCATTCATTATTATTTGCAAGAGAATCATTCACGTTTTAAACTGTTCAGTGAAAATCTCGGCACGTGTAGAAGGGCTTAAAAAGAACGTAGTCTACATAGCCTATGCAGGCTACATGTTAAGGTATTCTTGTATGTATATTAGATTATAATGTATCATTAGATAAGCAATTCAACACATTTCCGCAATGTGTCATAATCTAAGGTAAGTTAGTGAATTCAGCTAGATAACCCAAGTAAAGTAGCCTAAAGTCAGTAAGTTATTTTTTAGGCAATTTTTTCATTCATTACTACTTCATTACTGGCACAGCACAACTGAAATGTCACAGTCTCGATCCAGGTAGGCTGCATGCTGTATATCCTCAGATAACAGCCCTAAAATTTGTTTCCATTTTGTGGCAGACTTTTTGTTGGCATTTCATCTTTCACGTCAACAAACAGTGCCTGAGGCTTGAGCACTCATTCACTTGGATGGTAGAGAGGTCCAGCTCTGCCAAAATGTTGATGCTGGACACTTACCACCACACGGACACTTCTACCTTAATGCACTTTATGTGGTTGGCATTCTGTGGTTTCACTTAAATGTTTCTCAGTCTTGTAACATAGCCTAGAACATAAAATATAGAAAATAACACCAGAACGTCTGACCATCACTGCTGCTCCTTTATTTAATATGAGTTCCTCTCACCATTTATTTTAAGTTAATATAATATAATATATGAAACTTAGTACAATCAGCCACTGAAGTAGAAACACTAATAATTGTGCTATTAGTAGGCTAATTGATTGTCATAAATCATTCATAAGGTGTCACTGGTAGTTCCTTGATGAGTTTTTGATTATTTGTGTAATATAAACAAAAATATTGCTCAGATTTAATCCATGTTTTATGGGTACATGAATATTGTGTATAATAGATAACTGTTTGTGAAGTTATAATGAGTATAGTTTTTATACCAATATTTGTAATTGTGAATGATTATCTGAAGCTCCCATTCTGCTTTCCTCTTTGCAGTCCATGATTCATAGATTTCCCTGCTGAACATAATCATGATCATCATCATCCCAAGCAGCCAAGCTCTTATCTAATGGATAATTGAAGGCTTTATGAATCAGTCATTCCAGCAGTGAAGTAGTGAGAGAACACACAACCAACCCATGGTGAATCTGCAGGGGATAATGCCAGGTTTGTGTAGAGAGTTATCCCACAATGTTGTTTTCATGAGAAACACAATATGAATGCATGATTCAACACTGTTGTTGTCAGTAAATATTGTAAGTACAATTTGCATATTTATTACTATTTACCATCTTTGACAGCTTAATATTTCCATTTGCATCTCTATATACTCCAGTGGTAATAAGGTAAGTTACACTTTATTTTCCCCATAGGGAAATTTGTCCTCTGCATTTAACCAAACAATTTCTTTTTGACTATATGACAGGTTAAACTTACCCTAAAATTTGTCCCTTTTGTGTTTCATGAGTATGTTTTTTAAGGTGTTCCTAACCTCTTTGTCACTACTTTGTTGATGCAGGGCATAAGGGCAGCTGGCTGTTTGCCAGCTTCAGCTAGTGTGTGAGAGAGATGCTTAGCCAATCAGAACAGTGAAGAAATAATGCGCTGATTGGAGAATGTGCAAAAAAAAGTCCCGCCCAGACGTCAAGCGACAGCGTGTGTGTATGTGGACAGAGTGGTCCTTGACGCTTGTGCTGGTTGATAGGGAGAGACGGGACAGAGGAGAGAGGGAGAAAAGCATTTTAAGGAAAGACGTGTGCGAGTTTAAAGAAGTCAATGAGTGTCATATGTGCTGCTGCTGTTCCGCATTTGTGTATTATTATGTTTATGTTTATTTTTATGTACACAGGCTGAAGCTTGTCTCAGGAGGCTCAATGCGCGTCTCAGTCAAACATATTCTTTGCAACACTGTCTGGGTTTGCCACTTTATCTTCCAAATCTACAAAGATGGAGTTTTTTCTACAGTGTTCTAAATTGCCAAAAAATGTTCCAAACAGATGAAAGTTTACCTCAAATATTGAGCACAAGTATGATGATACTCACAGGTGTTTGATAGGGTAAAAGCAGATAAGAACATGGATGATGAGGATATAGAGGGGTACATTATGCAGCTTGAGGAATTTGTTTTCTTTCTGCACGCTTAAACCGGATTGTCTGTGAAACAGATATTGTTTTTGACATTGCCCAGCAGAGGGCAATGTATGTATTTTTTGCAAAAACAAAATAGAATATCTTCAGAGAAAAGATCAGCGGAGGTTTTCCGACTGGTTTTCTCAAAAGGAAACGGCCTCACGAGAGACCCTTGAGATGAGCCCAGAAGAAAGAGGACTCAGTCACAACTGGCTGCTTCTCAAGATACTACAGAAATGTGTACATGGCAATCATTGCCAATGTCATTGAACAGATTTCAAGGTGTTTCTCGAACTTCTAAAGCCTGCAGTTTCTTGAACTAGGAAATAAAAAACAGTTTGAGGCACAGGTTTCCACAGGATGCAGTTAATGTGGCGATTTATGTGACTTCTTTTTTTAAAGATATGGAGCAATGCCAGAACCGTACAAGCTTTTGCTTGCTACATCAGCTGAGGTAGAGAGAAACTTCAGCTTGAAAAATGTGAAGTCTTACACACGTAACACAGTGGGTGAAGAGTGCTTAAGCAAACTGGCCCTGCTGACCACTGAGAGGAAATTGGGAAAAAAAACAACAGTTATGACAGGATAATAGTTCGCTTTTTGGAAAGGGTGGAATTTCAATATAAATACATTTATTTAACATTTTGGTTTCTGTAGGTGGTGCAGGTTACTCATTAATAAAATCTTAACTATTTAATGTTGAAAATCACATTCTATTGTCTAAATGTTTTTTTTTTTTTTTTTTTTTTTTTTTTTTGTTTTGTTTTTTTATCATCGTAGTATTGGAATCAATATAGAGTATTGAGTCTATTCCTTAGTCTCAGGTTCGAGTTTGGAATTTAGTCTGGTGACAACACTAGAATAGCTTTCCTTGCATGTTATGGATGAAAAATACATAAATGAGAGTGGCGGTGTGTATATCTGGGTGCATACGTCATGTGTTGGCTGAAGTGCTGCTGGGAGTTTTGAGGAGGAGCTGTGCAGGGATAGGGGAAGGGCAGTGTTTCCACACTGAAGTGGTTGATGTGGGGGAGGGAAAGGCCATATGAAGAGTAAGGGCGTAGGTTTGATGAAGGTATTAGCCCATTAATGTCATATTTTTTAGCCTGAGCTTTAATGGTTCATAACATTCATAATGCGTCAACTATAATGATTATTATGTGCAAAAACAATTGTTTCTGTTTCAAAAACATAGTTTCAGTACACACAGATTTAAATTATTTGAGCCACCTAAAGATTTCCAATTTCAGTAAGCTATAAATCTGTGTTTCTTCAGGCATTGTGTCTGCAGATAGGAGAAGTTGCTGTTATACATTGTAGTGTTGGTTGTTTTGGACAAACAAACAATAATCCTGCATTTTCCCCTGTTGACTGGTGCCCCTTTGCCTTTCTCCACCCCAGCGCAGGTTAGCTCAGACCTCTCAGTAGTAAAACTGCTGTTTGTTACCACTGGCTATGTAAAAGTTACATCCTTCCTTGAGCTACAAGAACGCATCAGGATTCATGCAACTCCTAGGTCCTATCTAACTTCTCATGAGCGAGTGAAGGACACTTTTTCAGACAACAAATAGTTCTAATAATAGTTGTAATCTTTGTTTTGATTATCAGCTGTGCCTCATGTGTGCCAGCCCAAGATAGCCCCATGGTGACAACTGTGGGTTGGAGGGCTTCAGCACTCACAGAGATTGACTACTAGCTTGGCCAGTTAAACTTCAGTTAAACCACTTTGTATTTTTCCAGATGGTCAACATTGGGGACTCATGATCTGCTGGTTGGAAAACAAATGAAATTCTATGAGCCATTTGTAAAAGATCAAAAAGTAGGAATACTATTCCTATTTTATTATTATATGACTGTTGTTATTTTGTGTCTGCTGTGCCCAAGGTGCCCTTTTGTGGCCACCTTGCAGCCTCAGTTTACCCTGATTTTAAAAATGGATTACACCACATTTTAATATTGATAGTAATTTCAAATATCCATACAAATAGATAATTGACTAATAAAGGTTACTCGTTTCTACTAGCCATAGTAAAATAAATCAAATTATCATTGCTGCAAAATGGACTCGTTTGGTATTTGCAGAGTAGATGAACCTGTGAAGCCTAGAAGAGTCCTAAGTTATAGCAGGTGCGATACTCAATACTGACTCTGATACTACAATGAAAAAAACATTTTTCACTGTGTTTAGACAATATCATGTGATTTTCACACTTTGTTTTATGTTACCATGCAATGTTATATCCATGTAATCCCCTAGTCACCGAGGTAGGTTCCCTAGTGGTCCATGGGCATATAAGTTTTTTGAAAATCAATTTTGAAAAAGCTAATATTTAACATTTAGTGTGTGGTGTTAAGAATCTTAGCATGAATAAAGTCTGATGGTTCATTCTAACATGTTAAACGTGCACATATTTCAATTATTCACTGAATTGAGCACCAGTCTATGGCCCTCGATTGGTCCTCTGCTTCATCTGTGTTTAGATATGTGGCCCTTGACGAAAAAAGTTTGGACACCCCTGGTCTATGTGATCTTGAACTTATTCTGATACAGCTCAAGATCATTCTAAAGCTGTTCAGCAAAGGTTAATTTCTGTCCTGTGTATGTAACTTTTTTGTATCGTTACCTGCTGAAATGAGTACTAAGTTTCAATATTAGTTTTAGAGTCGATTAGTATCTAATTTTTGACACTTTTGACAACCCTAACCCCTACTGTACTTACAAGGTTAACCACTCCTGATTAAGACCTTTAACCTGCATCCCAGCGAGAAGTGTCAGGGCTAATGTCTCTGCCGCTCTACTGCTCATCCCAGAGTCCCACTGAGAAACAAGACCATTTGCTTTTATCTGCCATCGCCCCGCCCACTCGTGCCAGTTGCCTTGACAACAGCTCAGCTCCAACCAGGAAAGAGATGTGTATGCCGGTAGAAAGAGGATTATTGGGGTCAGTGATCTCCACATATGTGTGCTGTTCCAACTCTCACGCACACACAAATATGTCCTCACAGCAAATGATTATCTGCATAAATGTACAGCAGCACACGAGGAAGGCCGTGTGTGAATGCTGAATACATTAAAACTCCATTCATTATTTTTGAGCTGCAGGAATGAATGATGAGATTGAGCAATCTATCTTCAAAGTCATTCTTGCTTAGTTGGGCTTACTGTACAAAGTCAAAATATTACACCTCCAGCAAATTAATTTAAAGGTCTCTTTTACTTTTTAGCCCAAAAAAACTCAACTTGTTTTTTCCATTTTGGGTGTGTTTATTTCACTTAAAATATGGGTCTCTGTACAGGCTTGCATCTCCAGAAACCTGACTCTTTTCTTCATGGAGAATGTTCTGAAGTTGGTTTTAACTTTCTATTTCAATGGAATCATTCAGGTGACATTCAACTCCAGAAAGTTACATGCTATACTTTGAATTAATTGTGAATTATTATGTACTATAATATGTAATATTTTGCTGCTATCCCAGATTGTAGAACAAATCTTAAAATGATTGACCTTTAGGGGAACATTATTACATGGTAAATTCAGAGTTTAATTCTACACATTAAAAGGCCTTGAGTTCTACACATTATCAATCTAGAACAGCTATAGCTGAAAGTCATGACCACTATTTGAATCTCACTTATAAATATTGCAAGAGTTCATGTTGCTGTGCAAGGTTAGAACTGTCATCCCAGTTACTGTGCTATATTTATCAGTTTAAGTAATTGCTACTTCCATAATAAGGTGACAACAATAGTTTTATTTACACATTTATTCAAGACAGTTACAAAATATTGAATAAAGAAATACAGTTACTGTGCAGACGCCCCTGGAGTCCTCTTTTCCAATTTGATGTAAATGCCCTTCTCTGGACGTAGGATGAGTTCTCCCACTGGCTGTAGTTCCTCTCGTTTCTGACACGCCTCCACAGTGAAACGCCGCAATATGGATGCTAATACCACCTTCTCCTCCATCAGGGCAAAACGCTGGCCTGGAAACAATCATACAAATAAATGTGTCTCTTCAAGAAGAGCAGGTCATGTATAAAGAAGGGGTATTACACTTATATGGGTCATTAACTGCTAAGACATAACATTTAGATCATGTTACCATTTATAGTTTTAAAAAGCTATATTCACAGAAAACAATATATTGACATGTTTAAAGGGCCCATATTAGGCTATTTTCTGATCTGTTACAATATTATTTCCTCATCAAAAACATAGGAGTTGTGTTTTGTTTCATTCACACTTTTAACACAATTCCTGCATATTTAGACTTCTCTCAAACAGAAAACACTCAAACCAGTGGTATCATGTGGTAATGCAAGAAGTGCTACATTTGGATAATTTCAGCCCTGGAATTTCCAATCTCTACTAAACACAGGTGATGTAAACAATCATGTAAAAGGTAGCTGTTAACTTGAAAACTACCTCTTCATGATGTCACAAGCTGGAACAAAGCATTTTGATTTTGCATTTTGGAGATGAAGTTAAAATGGCAAACGGGCAGATTCCACCAAATGCCTCTCCACTCCTCTGTGCTGTGCCACACACTGTGATTTAATTGCCTGTTGTAGTGAATGGGTCACTACAATAATAACATACTAACATGGTTTAAAACTCACAAGAGTTAATTTCGTGTAATATGGGACCTTTTAATTAAAATTGTACTGGATCATATGGCCAACTGTAAGAAGGGTTCAAATAGTGCCTGGAGGGATTGCTAGATTACTCAACGTGCATGAAAGACTTGTAAAACCTTTTCAAGCATGTTTTTGATAAGATAACATCATATCATTGCAGAAAGCACCAAAAAATCAGTTTGGCATATTAACTCATCTTTAAAGTTTGAAAAGTCAGGATTACCAATGCAGTTGCGGAGTCCAGCAGAGAAGGGTATGTATGCATAGGCAGGACGTCCCACTGAGTTTTCTGGGAGGAATCGCTCAGGTCTGAACTCCTCAGGCTCTGGGAAGTACCTCGGGTCCCGATGTAGTGCGTATGTCACAATTATGATAGTGGAACCTTTGAGTACCTTGAAGCCCTCTGCAAAATTTGACAACATTGAATTTCAAGAAAGGATGAAAATGTATTGTACATGATTAATTGTACAGCATTATAGCCTACTTTATTGTGTATTGATACTTTGAGGATGGGGGGGAAGGGTCAATTCATGTATGCCTATGGTGGAACGTTCAGCAGTTACCATAGTGACACAATGCCCACATTAGCACACAGCCAAAGAAGCTTTAAGAAGCACTGCTGTAAACCAGTGAGAGCAGCGTAAACGTAATGACGTTGTAAATGTAAACATTGTAATTGTAAACACAGCTCCGGTGTGTTGGGCAAGACGCAGAGGTGAAGTAAGGCAATAAAGCGGGCCTGACACATCAACTGATGACATCACCACACATACAACTGCCAGAACTCCTAATGTACTTCTATGATGTTTTGGGAGTTTAGGCATATATGAAAAGATCACACAGAAAAGGTCACAACCATGTCCACAGCCCTGCACACAGTCTTCCTGCTCATGTCCCTCGCACAGTGTGAACAGGTCAGCGTATACGACCATTGCACTTTACTGTGTGCATACTCCCGTCGTGAGCTTCGTAAATTTGAAAAAAATTTGGAAAAGCCCAGCTTTAGGTGTTTGATTTTCAACAAAAAGTGTGAGTGTGACATATTAAAACACAATTGGCTAATGCTAGCTAGCTTGTGACTGTAATGTTATTTGAGAAAGAAGTCAGTTCTTTCTTTTTGGTCATATTGTGTTAAAAAGTCTAACAGACCCTCAGACAGAGCAGTGCATATGGTTAGCATCACACCACCGGGAATGTTGATGATATCAGTTGCAAAGTATTAATAGTGAACAATGTGGTAAGCATAATGAGCCACCTGGTAGTACTCACTGATGGTGGTGTCCTGGCAGATGGTGCGTGCAAAGAATGGGACTGATGGGTACAGCCGCAGCCCTTCTTTAATTACACACTCCAGGTAACGCAACTTCTTCAGGTCATCTGTGCTGACAGGCCTCTCTAATGTTCCTGAACACATCACATTAACACCCACATAATGCTGTCATATTGTTGTACTGCTGTATGTACAATACCTGTAATAGTTGGTAGAGTAGCAAAAAATATGATATGATTTTTCACTCAATCACAAGTAAGTTTTATACTACAAGCCAATGATTAAACTACATTCTTAAACAAACAACTTAGAGTAAGTTTGTTATGAGGGAACACTATGATATCAAGCTTATAAAAATGTGTAGGTTTAGTTACTAGTAAGTAAGGTTACCAAAATTGCTTAACATTTTTTTATAAAAACCAGAATATGCCCGATGATCAACCCTAATGTATCATTTTTTGTGTCATTTTGAGCTTCATCAGAACAAGTCTAACATCTCATAGTAATAAATAAAGTACCATTATTCTGTATGTGAAAATTACATTCCATTATAAAAAAAGAGCATGTTTTATTTTCTTTGTGATATCGTCATCAGTATATCAAGTCATATCCTTATTGCGACAACACTAATCTACACAAATTAAATTGCTGTCTATTTATTCATTCGAAATTCGTGCTTGGTCTAAGATTGTGCCAGAGTCAAAAGCCACATGTGAAGTCAGCAGGTGAGCAGTATCAGAGCAGCAATGTTGATCTTACCAAACACCTCATCCAGCTCTTGGTGCACTTTACGTTGCACCTCTGGGTGAGACCCCACCAGGTGTAGAGTCCAGTTCATGGCAGCAGCCGTGGTATCATGACCCTGGGGAGAAGAAGAGGTGAGAATCACAGCACTTTTTCATTTATATAGGAACCTGGCGTAAGCAAAGTGACAATGTGGAATATTAGTCCAGTGTTTCTGAAATTGTGGTACATGTACTACTGGTGGTATGCAAGCTCCTTCAGTTGGTACATGGACAGCTCTTCAGTTTGTGGGTTTGCCTAATTCAAAGTTAATTTAGTCCTCTTTTCTGTTCTTCTTTGGACATTTTTAGACTTGACATAGCCCTTAATTAGACCTAGAATTAGGAGTGTGAAAAAATATTCATCAATAATAAATAATAATAAACATCAATATATTGTATCAGTTAATATGATGATACAGTATAGATTTTTGTGCTGTATCAGTAATGGCAAAAGTATTTTTTGTATGTATTTTACTAATTATTTTGTTATAGCCCTACAGTTCTGTTGCTTGTTCAGAGGAAGAAAATTTGTTTATGCAACACATTTAACATATGGGTGTGTTTCATGGTAACTTTGCAGAAGAAAAGGTTTAATAAAGACTTAGTATCAGAGCCATGATTTACCAATTATTTTTTACTGAACTGTATCGAATGGATTTGAAACATCGCATCACATCGAAAGCTCACTGTATCGAGATACATATCATACCATGGCCTATGTATTGAGGTATGTATCATCCAGGCAATGATACCCAGCCCTACCTGGAATAGTTATGGTTTTAGCCTGTGTCTGTAGATCTAGTGGTACTTGAAAAAACAAATCTTTTCTATTGTACTTTGTGTGAAAAGTTTGAGGGCCACTGTACTAGCCTTATGGATTTTGCTGATTGTTTTTATTACTCATTAGTCATTCACACCCACCTCAAACATGAAGGTGTCCACCTCCTCCTGAATGTCTTGGTGACTCATGCTGTTGCCCTCTTCGTCTGTGGTCTTCAGGAGCATGTCCAGAAATGCCCGCCTCTTCTTCCCGTCTGTCTCACTGTCTGATTCAGTGTTGGAAATGCTCTCGGCTCTCTCATGTATTACCTTGCAGGCAGTGTTAGAAGTGACATGTTAGTTTCTATGCATTTGAGCTCCCATATTACCCTCAGTGAACTTTCATTTTTGGTTTCTGTTGGATATTAGATGACTATTTTATATATTTAGACATGGTTTCATTTCGACTTTAAATTTTAATCATTTAAATCTATTCAAATTGTAGCACACCTATTACCCCATGTCTGTTTACATTTATGTTATTTGAAAGAATGGGGATGTGATCACTCACTTTGTACGTAAAGGAGTGAAGAACCTTGAGGATCCTGTCATGCTCTTTGCCATCTCCTATAGAATAGTACAAAAGGTCTGGCCAATACCATGGCATTCTCTGTCTCCGACTGACAATGTCACTCATTCTGAGGGAGCAAATACAGTGGTAAATTATAATAATTTAACGTAATAAAACATATTTTGTAAAAAAAAAAAAAAAGCATACTCACATACCTGTACACACACTTGACATACTCGGATTCGGCATTGCTTTGCGCATAGATTTTCTTTCCCATGGCAGTTTCTACAAAGACAAACAACAATAATAACAATAATAAAAACAGATGTGATCAAGGTTTATATATATATATATATATATATATATATATATATATATATATATATATATATATATATATATATATATATATATTTTTTTTTTTTTTTTTGCAACATCACAACTTTGCCAATATTGCATACATATTGCAATTTTAATGTGGTAGCTTTTGACTGTAGACCTTATATATAGATGGACATAGATATACACGGGCACAGCCAGCCTGCTAGTTGTAGCCTTCTAAATGGAAAGTGAGCATGGACATGAATTGGTTCCATCCATCCAATTGACTTGTATAAAAAAGTCAATTGATCATTGCTCAATTGCACATGCATGATGGTAAACATGTGGAGGGCCTGTTACTGAATTAACTGTGGGTGCCCTCACATAAAATCCTGCTGGATTAGAGGTCAAGATCAGATGAATATAATTTCAATAATGATTTTGAGATTTTATAATAATGTGAGGTGGATCTCTTAGCCCAGCGGCCAACTGCTGAAGATGCAGTGTATGTGGCTGAGATGACTTGGTGTACACTACTGACCACAGATAATGTCCAGAGCACACAGGGTGACATGGGGAAAGCAGTTAAACTCGCCCATGCCAGCTTTCTTCTGCAGCTTCTCCACCAGGATCTCAGCCTGCTCATTCATAACATCCAGGAAGTCAGCTAGAATAGAGAAGTGGAAGGTTGGGGTCAGCATCTTCCTCCTCTGTCGCCATTTGGTGCCAGTGCTGTGGGGATAAGAAAAAGAAAATATTAGAAATACAATAAAACAGGAACCTACCAACTTGTCATTCATGCTGGTCTTGAACATCTTCATAGACTAAAGCACTAACCAAATGCATTCCTATAGTGCCATCTGCTGACAGTCCTAAATATTACACATAGTAAGGCAAGTATGAACTGTGAAGTATGTTTTTTGTTAATGGGTTAACAGTAATGAGGGCAGAATCTTTATCACATATTTTTATTATTGAATTATTCCCCCCAAAACAGTAATTCAAGCCAACATATACTTATAACAAGATAGCCTACCCACATGCATACAAAAGGCTGTTTTATATGTTTGTTTTGTTTTTATTTTGTTCATATTATATTTGTATTATATTATATTTAATCATATTATATTTGTATTATGCAAAGTTGCTTGGGATGGTCTTCTCACTATTCAGATGCTCCTCGCAGTTAACAGTGTGAGTCTGTAAGGCTCAGCCCACAAGCCAACCTCACCCATGCCCCCACACAACAATTTTTCATAAATATACAAAAGCATGATACAAAACAATCCACTACAACTTCACTTCCCTTTATGTAATGTGCAGTAGTTTCATTAGTAAATACATGCTGATTGTCAGTGTTGTGCATGAACGAGTACAAAAGAACGCGTTCATTGAACACGTTCATTTTTCAGTGAACTTTGAACTGAACGCAACACTTTTGTAAATCAAGAACTTGAACGTGAATTTGTTCAAATTATGTGTGATGAACGACGTACGTCACTGTTGGGGTTCAGTTAAACGTCGGAATTTGTTTTCACCTGACGAGTGACGATCTGCTCGCACTTCACCTCGTGAAACCACAGCCGCGTGTCAACGCGAAGGCGACTCCACCGGCAGCTTTAACGGAACGTACGGGCTCTTGTGTCTCTCAATGGGAAGTCAATTAAACTTGACTGGGCGCGTTTAGCTGCTTGTATTTACCTTCTGTACAGGCTGACCACGGCAAACGCAAGGATTTCAAAAGTAAATTTCAAAGCACTAATTAACAGTGTATGTGGATCTGGGCTCTTTCACATGATACACAACTGCCCAGGGAGCACAATGGTAAATGCACAGATACAACAATAGATACATGCTCTCTGTGTATTTTGACGGGGATACGCGCCTCGTGTATGAGCGTCAAAAAATAGGATGGCTCTATTTTCTGAAATCTACACGCACAGGACGTGCTGCTCCGCGCGCGTATTATTTTACTTGGTACATATGTCAGTAACGCGCGTCACAATGCTTTTTAACCTGGATTGAAATGGTGGGTTTTTCGTTTTTCTTCATACAAATTTGCTAAAATCACCGCGATATCAGCAGCGGTGAAACGCCGGAGGTTCGCCCGCGTAGACCGTGATCCTGAGCGAAAGGACCGACGCAGAAGTCCGCGCTCCACCGAACTAAACGCAGCTGACGCCCGATCGCACTCGGGGTTCTCTCAGGGGCGGTCCTAGATTCCAAGTTCTAGTCCAGGATTAGTCCTGGTTTGGTCCTGGTTTAGTCTTGGTTTAGTCCTGGTTTAGTCCTGGTTCAGTTCTGGTTTAGACCTGGTTTAGTCCTGGTTCAGTTCTGGTTTAGACCTGGTTCAATTCTGGTTCAGTCCTGGTTTAGTCTTGGTTTATTCCTGGTTTAGACCTGGTTCAGTCCTGGTTCAGTCCTGGTTTAGACCTGGTTCAATTCTGGTTCAGTTCTGGTTTAGTCTTGGTTTATTCCTGGTTTAGACCTGGTTCAGTTCTGGTTTAGTCCTGGTTTAGTCCTGGTTTAGACCTGGTTTAGACCTGGTTTAGTCCTGGTTCAGTTCTGGTATAGACCTGGTTTAGTCCTGGTTTAGTCCTGGTTTAGTCCTGGTTTAGACCTGGTTTAGACTTGGTTTAGTCCTGGTTCAGTTCTGGTATAGACCTGGTTTAGTCCTGGTTTAGACCTGGTTCAGTTCTGGTTTAGACCTGGTTTAGACCTGGTTTAGTCCTGGTTTAGTCTGGTTCAGTCCTGGTTCAGTCCATATACGTCGCAAAAGTTCAGCATCTTAACAGTTCTTTTGGTGAGAGTAAATTAAAAGTGCTGCAATAGTTGTGTAATGTTTTACATTTTAAATACAGTAATATTGTAATGTAACAAATGACTTTGAAATGACAGTAACAAGTCATAAATAACACATTACAGTTTTAAAGTCACTTGTCCAACAGTGTATCTTGTAAAGTTGTTGTAAACTAGAAGTCAGTTTGAAAAATAAATGCAGCCTTTCATTTACAGATCTCATCTAAATATAAAATGAACTGAACTTTGAACTAGTTCATGAAAAGTGTGAACTTGCACAACACTGCTGATTGTGTTGTGATGGCTCTCTGAAGGTGAAGTGACTGAAACATTTGAATGTGAATAGGATTTTCAAAACAATAAAATGCAACATGTGATCTAAATACGTAATGTGCGAACACTGAACAATTAATAGTCCATAGAAGTTTAACACCCCCATTTTAAATACATTCATGAAAACTTAGATGTAAATTAAGTCAACTTCTTCATGCTTGATTATGAGCTTGTACCTTGTGAGAAGACCAGTGCCAAGCCAGGGGTGCAAGAATTTATATGCATCTGCCTTGTCCATGTGGATGGAGTTGTTCAAAATGGTCTGTGTAGAAACAAATCCCGTCATGTCCCATCATAAAGTAGGACTGAAACTAGATACACATTTGAACAGGTATCGCCACTAATAAAGTTACATTCATAAATGAACCTTTCCTTAATAGCAGAATGTTGAAAATGACATTCTGTTGTCTAAAAATGATATTATTATTATTAGAGTATTATTACCATCGTGGTTTCAGAATCAACATTAAGTATCCAAAGGGGGTGGTTTTCCTACCACGCTGTGCACATAATGATAAACAGGGGCGTTACCATGGTTTGGAGTTCAGCTGAGTTTAGACCGTCAAAGAGTAAACAAGGGGAATGTAGTTCAGCTCAGTTCATGCTGGCTGTTACAATAAACACACTCAACTGCTTAAGTTTGTCAGAAGTGTCAAAAATAAGATACTAAGTGATACTAAAACCAGTATTGAAACTAGATACTTGATTTGAGCAGGTATCAACACTAATAAAGTCACATTTATAGGACAGAAATTAACTTTTCCTCAACAGCTTTAGAATGATCATAAGATATATCAGATAGGCTGCATAAGACCATACAATAAAAAGTACTATGATTTTATTTAATACTGAGAATGGGATTTTATTGTCTAAAGAAAGAGCCAAATTGGAAACAGTATTGAGTATTCTGAGCCCTATTCCTTAGCGTCGAAATCAAGATTGAAATATTAGTATCGTGACAAGCACACCTATACAGGAAATGACACAAACAAATATAGAAGTTCATTAATATTTGTCTTACAGTATTTTGAGTTAGGGTTAGAGAACCAGATGCTAATTAATCTTGAGCTAGTTTTGTTTATGACAGTTATTTCTACTTTTGTACTGTTTTCTACATCTGTTTTTACAATGAAACTAAATAACAGATCAAAATCAAAGAGACTGCAGCATAAAGTAGATGTGATACAGTGCATGAACATTTTACATTGCTATGATAACTACAAATATGTACATTTGTTAAAATCAAGTATGACCAAAATCAAATCGTGTTTTTACAGTTATCATTTTATTTGTGCTCCTACCTCAACAGTTTCAGAATGGTACAAGATGACAAATGGGACAGTGCCAATCCAGATTTTGAACAGTGGTAATGTGTAATACTCCCTGGTGAGCTCTGCAATCTGGTTGAAAAATTCTGCAACGCATTTACAATGATGATTAACAAGAAATTTTAAAAGCAGTACTTGTTATGTATTATGATGATTATGATGATGATGATGATTATTATTATTATTATACCACACTTACTGTTACCATTGTTACTTAGTAATATAATTTTTGATACACTGCTCTGTGCTATTAGATGTATAAAATGTTGTCTTACCTCCTGCATTGGTTTTCAGCTGGTGTGCATTTCCAATAATTGGGAATGATGTCCCAATCTCAGGAATGGGCTTCATTATAATGTACCTGTACACATAGTCGCCTAGCAGTTTGTACGTGAGGAATGTTAGAGCCAAGATGAAGCCACTCACCAATATCACTGGAAGCGAGTAACTGCCTATAAGAACTGACATTTTTTCTGTGTGTACAGGCTGTCTGTACTAGAAAAGCTGGTCTTCTGGTTCCTGGACACTTTATGTGCACAAATCAAGGTGGGAGGAGGGCTTTTGGGGCACTGCCTACTTCCTGACTAACTCAGCAAAGTGCACAGTGTTATTAGACATATTCATAACGTAGGAAAACTTGAGGGTGGGTGGGTGAACAAAGAGCTATAAACCTTGTTGCGTTTATTGCAGTCTAGTAATGTTAATAATTGACAGGGAATTGACCTGGTTCAGTTTGACCTGGCCTTATTGAGTTGGAGCAGAACTGAACTGTGTCTCTTGGTAGTGACATGATTTATATGACATGATTTGAGAAGCATCATTTATTTGAAAAGTTTCTTGCACAGTACTTCTTGTCCCTTTGCATTTATTTAAAGGCTGATATAGGACAAACATTTAAATATCGACAAAAGGTCTGTGTGGGAAAAAAAGGTAATGAAATTGTCACCGAGTTGAGTTTGAACACTGGACTCTTCACTGTCAGTCCAGAGTACATGTTGTATTTGGGACAGCACAGCGTACTGGCTCTTTTCCTAAATCTTTATCTGTGGTAACAGGTATCAGCTGGTACTGTTTATGGAGATTTCATTATACCAATGATATCTTACTTATGACAGCCATTTAAAACTGCATAATGTACTTTAGACTAGGACTAATCATTTGTACACTTTGCTCACCTTATTACTGCATGTGTGCCTGATCTTTGCGATTGATTCTGTGATTCATCTCTGACATTATTAACAATTTCAAATACTTTTTTTTTCCTAATTTCCTACTCTGTACATCTCAGATACATACAAAAGGCATCAAATATTTGAAGCAAAATATGCGGCATATGTTTCATTGGTTAGTCAAGGTGGTGATGGGGGGTGGGGTGGGGGGGTACGGAGATATAGTTTTTTTGTTTTGTTTTGATTTGATTTTTTCAGAGGCCTTAACGATAAAGTGCTGTGGGAAACACTGGGGAATTATGTAGTCAAGAGAAAAAATTAACAAAATACATTATTAATATTAAAACTCTCTGCTTTCTCTCACTGAGATTCTTAATGAAATCTCCTGAAATGGTTTTCACATCACAGCTGTGTCTGGTTAAGGTCAAAGAATGTCAAGAGTGTAAAGCTGTGATCAGTGCTAAAAGTGGCTAGGGGTAAAATCCCAAATGTAAGTTCTGAGTTAAAAATAACAATATTGGAGTCCTGCACTGGATCAAAACTTACGTGTACAGGATGGCAGAGGCACTCTGTTTTGTGGTGTATACTTAGTCCTACTTAGTTGAAATGTGTGAGCAGCAGGTGTGACCATTTATAGGGGCCTTGACCCCAGACACGTGATAATTAAAAACTAAATATCCAAAAACATTATACATGTTGAATCCAAATATATTGACAACATACCATCCATAGCACAACAGATAAAAAACACTGTTAGGCTACTACATTACATTAGAATATAATTTATGAAATATTTGAAAATACAGATGGAAATGACCAAGGCAGGTTTATATTTTAATTCAGTTAGATAAATACAAAACACTGGGCAAAGAACAATAGTAAAACACAGTTAATGTTTGGTGTTACATGGAGTCCTTCTCTCTAGTTTGATCCTGATGCCCTTCTCTGGACGTAGGATCAGTTCTCCTACTGGATGTAGTTCGTCTCGTTTCTGACACGCCTCCACAGTGAAGCTCCGCAATATGGACGCCAACACGACCTTCTCCTCCATCAGGGCAAAACGCTGGCCTGAAAGAAGGCCAAATAAACAACTAAGCTTGGGAATTCCTTGCTTAATAATAAAGGACTTTTAGCTTTATCAGTGTCGGTTTCTGTACCCATCTCATCTACACATTACACTGAAGGGTAATCACGTTTTTTCATTTATTTTAGTCCTTTGAGAGTCACAATCCATCCTATGTCCAGTAAAAAAGATATAAGAGAAAGATAGACGACCAAACGCCAGTACGTTAACCACCAAACTAAAGGGGAAAAACTACTAAATAAACTACAGTAAAATGAAAGAAGGAAAAAGTGTCCATTTTAGGGATATATATACTAACAAGAGGTTGGGCTACTGTTCCTAAATATGATTATCAGACTTTGATCAAGTCCATTTCAAAAACGTAGTCTGTCGTCTTACCAATGCAGTTGCGGAGTCCAGCAGAGAAGGGTATGTAGGCATAGGCAGGTCGTCCCATTGAGTTTTCTGGGAGGAATCGCTCTGGTCTGAACTCCTCAGGATCTGGGAAGTACCGTGGGTCTCGATGCAGCACATATGCGAAGATTATGACGTTGGAACCTTTAGGAATTTTGAAGCCCTCTGCCGAAAAATGCAATCCAGAGATTTTAGAGATTGTTACACAGAAACATGACCATCTAATCCATTGGCTGACTGCTGTAATCTAGAAAGTATATTCATAGTTATAGGCCCCATATTATGCTTTTCTGATCTATGCTATAATGTTCTTTCCTCATCAAAAATGTACCAGGAGTTGTGTTTTGTTCTTCTCTCAAACAGAAAACACTCTGTTCCACCTTGTAATGTTAATAATTGTGTTTTTAATCTCCATACAACTTCACAAGAATCATTTGGATAATTTCAGAGCTGGAATTGCCCGTCTCTACTGAACAGAAGTTTCAGTATCTGTATTTGTTCAGTATATAAGCTGTGTGTTCAGTAGCTGTTAACTTGAAAACTACCGCTTCTTCATCATTATAAGGTGGAACAGAGTATTTTGAGTTTTGGAGATGTAGATAGACAGTAGTATATTTGTGCACTGAATCAATGCAGTACCATGCAGTCTATAACTTCAAAATCTCTGTTGTGTCTGGGACCAAATATTGAAACACATGTCAGAGAAGCAGCTGGACTTACTGATGGTAGTGTCCTGGCAAATGGTGCGGGCAAAGAATGGGACGGAGGGGAACAGCCGAAGTCCCTCTTTGATCACACACTCCAGGTATTTGAGCTTCTTTAAGTCTTCTATATTTATGGGCCTCTCTGATGTCCCTGAAAACATTACATAAACAGTCACTGATCTTTTCTATTCTTTTGCAAGGGAGTCTTAACTCAACAACATGCTGTGATAATTCTACACACAAATATGTTTACACTACATGCTTTCATTAATGTCTAACAGGTTGATAACATTCACCATCAAGAATATATAAGATTTTGTCATACTTGTTTTGCTATTTTTATATGCGTTTATTTATTTATTTATTTTTATTTCACATAGCTTGCAATAAAATAACAGATATAAATAGATAATAAATAAATACACACACAAATCATTTTTGACCAATGCATAGTTATTTTCTTATGTAACAACATATAAAAAATGAAAGGAAGTAAATATGATTTATGCATGTTGCCCTTACCGAACACCTCGTCCAGTTCTTGGTGCACTTTACGCTGTACCTCGGGGTGGGAGCCCACCAGATGTAGAGTCCAGTTCATGGCAGCAGCTGTGGTATCATGACCCTGAAAACACAAGCCGGATTCAAATTGTTACATCTTAAACATCAGCATGTAAATTATCTTGCAAATAACCATCAGCATTATAACTGAAAATGAATATTTTTTTCATCCATTCTGTAACAATGGCTCACCTCAAACATGAAGGTGTCCACCTCCTCTTGAATGTCCTGGTGGCTCATGCTGTTGCCCTCTTCGTCTGTGGTCTTCAGGAGCATGTCCAGAAATGCCCGCCTCTTCTTCCCGTCTGTCTCACTGTCTGATTCAATGTTGGAAATGTTCTCCGCTCTGTCATGTATCACCTATAAAATGTATTTTAGCTGGATGCAGGTTTTTCAATATTTTGCAACTTTGTATATGCCAACCTAGAATGTAGGCACTAAAAATGGACTATTGGCTCTCTGTGATAGTACAAGTGTAATGGAGAAGTATTGACTCACTTTGTATGTGAAGGAATGTAGAACCTTGAGTGTCTTATCGTGTTCCTTGCCATCTCCAATAATATAGTACAGGAAGTCCGTCCAAAACCAGGGGGCCCTCTGTCTTCGACTGACAATGTCACTCATTCTGAGAAAACCAATGAATGTAAGTGTAAACAACTAAAAAATTCAAATAAAATTGTAAAAGTTTTTTTTTTTTTCCTTACTTGTATACACACTTGACATACTCAGACTCAGAGTTGCTCTGAGCATAGATTTTCTTTCCCATGGCAGTTTCTAAGGAGACATATTGAAAAGCATTTGAAACATTGTGTGTAACATTTGACACACACAGCAAGTGAAATAAACGTTTATCTTCTATCTTCTTACCACAGATAATGTCCAGAGCACACAGGGTGACATAGGGGAAGCAGTCAAACACTCCCATGCCAGCCTTCTTCTGCAGCTTCTCCACCAGGATCTCAGCCTGCTCATTCATCACATCCAGGAAGTCAGCCAGAATAGAGAAGTGGAAGGTTGGGGTCAGCATCTTCCTCCTCTGTCGCCATTTGGTGCCAGTGCTGTGGGAATAAGGAAGAACAAAAAAGTCATAATTAGGGAGCAGACTACACAGAACTGTTTTTCAGTTTGGTACTTGGATATACTTCATCATATTTTAGTGAAAATATAGACTCTTATGTTTTTGAAAAAAACAGGAGCCATCCCAGACTGATAATTTTTAGAAATCAATTCAGAGCTGGCATGAGCCAGTTTAAGATAAATCAATCTTTTTTTTTTTTTTTTTTTTTTTTTTGACAGTTTCTAAGTACAAAAGATGATGACATATTTGTCTTAATATCTGGGTTACTATGTTCTTCTTAAAGGAGACACTTGATCCAAAAATTTAATGTTTATGAGCTTTCAGTCATATTATAATGGTATTCACTCATCACTGGCTACCCAAACTTATATATTTAAATTGAATTAAATTGAATTTGGGAATGTTCATGCTTAGAAAATGTTTTTGTTTTCGTCTATCCCTTATCTCTCTACTTCAAATTACTCAAAGTAGATTGTTGTGCCACAGGGGCAGAAGGGCCTAAAATATAAATAGGCGACAATTTTGCTCACTATCCCCAACTTGTAACCATAAATGTTTGTCCAACAACACCACCCTGAAGGGAACAGGTAAGTTATAATATAAAGGCACCACGGGTAAGTATGAAGTGACAAAAACATGAACTAGGAAAAATATACAATTTTATGAAGTTACTGGCTTGAGGTACACAAAATAATTTTTCATGATTCATAAAAGGTTGTTTCCACTCACTCTCAGTGTAAATAATGACAGTATTTACCTAGGTTAGATCTGCTATACAATTCCAACACCCACAGCGGCTTGAATCAAAAACAACAACACTGATTTACAGGTTGAGTCCAGTTTGAGAAGAGGAGGAGAAAAGGAGGAGGAGAAAACGAGGAGGAGGAAGGGGAGAAGGGGAAGCTCGGGAGCCTCCAAACCAAAGTTCTAAAGATGCGTCGCACGCACAGAAGCACCAAGCGCAGAGAGTGGGTGAAATCTGGGAGCCCCACCAGAGCGTATGAATGAAAGGGGCGCAGCGCGAGGCTGAAGGTGTCCTGGTGCACGGAGAAGCTCTGGACGCCACGCTACACGCACGAGCCGGGAGATGTCCCGAGATGACCCTCGTGCGCGCGCCGGTGTGGAACACGCAACACGAAGCACAATCACCAGGTTTTAAACCTATGAAAGGTGATTTGAAAGAGATATTAAAGTTTAATCCGGCGCTCGTGCTGCTGCACTGCTCCTAAACAGCGGGTGACGTCAGAGGCGACCAAGAGCTCGAGCAGGTGAGGGACCCTCCCTCTCAAATGTTCAGGCCACACGCGATAGACTACCGGCAGGCACACAGACCCACTGCCACATAAGGTTCACGTTTTTAACATTAAATAATATATATAAATGTCATCTCACTTTTAAAATATACAATAAATGTGAGTCATAATAATGCTGTACCTTGTGAGCAGACCTGTGCCAAGCCAGGGGTGCAGGAAGTTGTATGCATGAGCTTTGTCCATGTGAATGGCGTTGTTCAGAATGGTCTAAATAATAAAGAAATTATGGTAAATATTTTGACTGTGAATTCTACTTACTAAGATTGACCAATAACACTGACATAAGGAAAGATATAAACATTCTGTATGTAGTATATACAGTATAGGGCTATGCAGTGGTTTGTAACATTTTGCAAGTACCTGGAATATAATTTGCTCCTATTTAAGATTATGAATAGTACCTAGGGAACATGCTTTACCTCAACAGTGTCAGCATGGTACAGGATGACAAATGGGACGGTTCCAATCCAAATCTTATACATTGGCAGTGTGAACTTTTCTTTACTGAGTTCCACCACTTGTTTAAAAAATGCTGGGAAGAATAACATTTAAACATAAAATCTTTAGCAACATTTGATTTGCACATGTTAAAAAAGAGTCTTACCTTCTGCTTCGGTTTTCAGCTGATGTGCATTTCCAATGATGGGGTATGTTGGTCCCATCTCAGGAATGGGCTTCATAATAATATACTTGGAAACATAGTCCCCTAGGAGTTTGTAGGTGATATATGTTAAAGCCAGAATGAAAGCGCTGACCAGTATCATTGAAACTGAGTAATTTCCTATGAGAACTGCCATTTTCTCTGTGTGTATACAGGCTGTTTGTACTAGAAAGACAGCACTTGGTCTTGGAGTGCCTGAACTTTTATGTGTATAGGTGGGAGGGGACTTTGAGGGACCACCTACTTTTATGCAATCTGAAAAAAAACATTCACATTATTATTATATATTTTATCAGATATTGATGATGCAGGAGGTGAGGGTCAGTGCGTAAAAGTGCAATAAAGTGAAGTGAATGATTGACAAGAGACAGGGCGTAGAACCCTTTGTCTGATTGGCCTGCAGTTGTGGCCTGCAGATGAACATGAACTCTGATGAACTTTGTCCTTATACATTATATGTATACTATTCCAGAATGCTAGGAACACACTGAATATTAAAGGGGACACAAGTATTTTATGCAAATTATTTGTTTTTGACCATATAACCATGTAATAATGTTGTTCCCTCATCAAAGCATTCACAGTAGTTTCTGTTACTATTAGTTTGCCTTCTCTGAGCCTCAGGTAATCAGCCATCACTTGACTTGATCTCTTTCTGCACCCAAACTGTTGCAACTACAAACACATGGCTTTATTAGTATTAATGGCATCATTTATTTTATTTTTTATTTTATTTTTTATCATTGACTCACCATCATAACCCATTTATTCAGTGTTTTACCATTCTTTTCATATTTTCCTCTGAAAAACAGCTGATCAATAAAAACATCAGACATCTCAGTTTGAAAAAGTGCAGTAATAGTGCTATTACCGCACTATATGTATATAAGCCTGTGTGTACGCGCACGTGTGTGTGTGTGTGTGTGTGTGTGTGTGTGTGTGTGTGTGTGTGCACGCATCTGTATTATGTTACAGTGGTTAAATTTTTTTTTTCAACATTTGGTTCCCTATCTGGCCAAAACATTTGGGTCAAAATTTTGTGCAAATGAGGTTGCTCAAGACACTTGAATATTGCCCTATAAGGCCTATACTATAGCATAGCGAACCAAATAAATAAATAAGGTATTCGATTAGTTTATCATTTTATTCTGCAAACATAAACTGAAACTTGCATAAAAGTTACTTAGAAAGTCCATAAAATACATAAAAAGTTACCTGAAAAACTTCATGCAGCTTGACCAACATCTAAAACATCTCCTTTTTCTTTCAAATTTCTTCATAAATCATCTTTTGGTTGCTAAAACGTAATGCAGCATTCTAATTTAGGTTATCTGAAACTTTATTTTTTTACCATGATTTGGATGTGTGTGTTTGTTTTTTTTAGTTAGTCCAAAGTGTTTCAGGATGAGGTGGTGGCCCACAGCATAACTGACAGAGCTGCATGGGATACACAGGATCACACTGTGATCAGTGGGTTTGGTGGATGATAATAAGTGTCTTGCTAAAGAAAGCAAAGACTCTAATGTTAACCACCATATGTTAAGTAGATCACTGGGTGGAAATATTTTTGATCACAATATAGTTATTTGTGCATATTATAAACTATGCAGATAACATGTTATGTTAGGCTATGAGGGATTTAGATCCTACAAAATGTACCATATATAATCTGAACTCCACTCACCTGTGCTCTTTGCACAGTTGTCCTCATCATGTTAGCGCAAACTGCGATCTGCGAACTGTGACCCAGATTATTGTAGAGGTGTAGGTGTTTTGGGATCAGTTCCAAAAGCTGCACTCTCCTGCCCTCATGTCAGTGGACACACAATGATAAAGCTGGAAATCTGTGTGCACTGATAAACATTAACTTAGCATGACACTTCCGATTTCATAATAGGAAAAGTCATTAGAGTTTGTCCTGACTCTACCATTTAGATAGCGTTCTGGAATAAAAAAAAAAAAAAAAAGTAAAATCATTATAAATAAAGTCAACATCACCAGAAGAACTACAGTTCTGCGCAGGCACTGTGTCAAGAGACTTCCAACTTGAAATCAGCACAAAGAAAAGAAAAATAATAGCAGCCACCAGGAATCCAGAGCAGCATAACATGAGATGTGGTGCTAGAGCAAGTGGAAAATTTCAATTATTTGGGCACTATTATTAAACTGCAGACAGGTTTCACAAGATCAGAGCTGGACTGGGGACAGCAAGATTTGCTCTGAGGTCAGTCAGCACTCAACAAACTCTACATTAGAGCTCCAAACTTCTCCTGAGAACACTGGTGTGGCCGTGGCACTGTTCAGGTGTGAAGTTTGGACCCTACAGGTTGTCGACATCAACAGACTGGAAGCAGACTTTGAAACCACGTGCTACAGACACATCCTGAGGATCCCATAGACTACCCACAGAACAAATAAGTCAGTCTTTAATGAAAAGGGACAGAAAGACACCTTCTATCAACAGTAAGAAAAAGGAAACTACAGTACTTTGGCTATATCATCAGGGCTCAAGTGGAAAATGGCAAGAGGACAAGAGGGAGACAACGGAGATGATGGAGCGATGACAATCCAAGAATAGACCAAAAGAACTCTTGCACAGCCTTGGCAAGGCAAAGGAATCTGTGGAGGAAACTAGTTGAGACTTTCATGATCCCCAAACCTTAAAAAAGAGAATCAAAATAGGCAAGGCAAGAAATAAAAAAAACACATTATATACTGTATACACCTTATTCTACGAGTTTCCACAGTCAGTCGTTGTCATTTGGGTTGTATTATTTTGCATGGGGCTGCTGATCTTGACAGTATATAAGTTCTATCCGGACTTCAAAGTAGTTTAGAAGCCTCCAAGCGAATCAGTGTATTATTGACTTGTTGTTGCACATGAACCTTGAACATTTTGCAAAAATCAACCCATTTTATATCATATTTTAGTGGCGGTTGAGTCCAGCGCAGTGACCAGGTGCAGGCCTGTAATAGTGGTCCATATGGAGAGCACTGGGGCCCTGACAGACTGAGGCTCACTGCAGCCTGTATAAAGTCTGTCAGACCCAAAAGACTACATGCTCTATAAAACAACTCATAAACGTTATTGGATCACATAGTACCGTAATATGTTTATAGGAAGTATATAACTTACAGAAAATATATAACTTACAATCATGGAGGAATTTGAATTTTTTGTTGCATTATCAGTAATAATAAGAGTAATTACATTCTAGATAATAATATTTTAGAATTTTTGTTCTTATGAGTGCTCCTGACTGTTTGTAGGATTTGTTCATCCAGAAGAACATTTTCAGATAAGAAAAAGTTTTGTGAATGCCAAAAATGTTTGTAAGAAAGCCTTAAGTACAAATGTATTCGTAAGAACATTTCATGAATGAGGGCCATTGTCTTCGCTGCTGTGTGTAACTACACTGTTTTCAAATTTAAAACCCATGAGCATGTAGCTAGCACAAAAGTCTGTTTTAGTAATTATTAGATTTATCAAATAGACACCATGCAACACTTTTCTGGCATGCTGTAATATTACAATTTAATTAGTTATCCAACTGTGAAAGCATTTCTTGAAAACATCTAATATACATACAATATGTGCCACTAGATGACAGCATTATACAAGAATACATTTTAACATTCTGCATTCAAAACGTTTTTTTTTTTCCTTTCTGACAGTGTGCTTCAAAAATATTGTTATGTTATATTTAAAATATTTGTATTTATTTCTACAAAGTTACACCAAAATAGAAGAAGAAAAAAAAGAAAAAAAGAAAAAAGAAAAATAGTCATAGTCATGTTGTACAAGTACAATTATACTTTAATTCACACATTGCTTTTTTTAAACATAACTTTGAGTTTCCAGAAAGCAAAAACAATAAACTGTTAAATAGGCTAATTGTTAATAATGATGCAAACATGATTCTTTACCCTTTAAATGTTAATAGTTATTGCAGCCAGTGGTTAGTCTTGCCCAGAGCAATAAGCAGGTTCTGGTGGAAGGCTGGGACCCTCTCTCTCTGGGGGGGGCAGTGTACAACACAGCTGGGCCTGAGCATGCCCCTGCGAAGGAACAGGGTCCGGGACAGTTTGTAGTCATGAACGTCCTCGAGTAACACCAAAACCACAGAATCCCGGCTGTCTTCTATCACTTGGTGCAGGGCGTGGTGGGCTGTGAACCTGCAGAGTCAAACAAAACAAAAGTAATACCTTCCGAACTGTAAATTTAAGCGAATTCATGTAGTTATCATAAATCAGCTGTTTGAGTACTTCATACCATTAAGTAGTCTTTTTTTATGTATTTGGTTTACTTGTCACCCATATCACACATGAAGTGTCTATACTATTGCAACAGTGTAACTCTAATATTTCAAACTCAATTTTGATCACAAGAAAAAGACTAGATAGTTGAAAATGAATCCAACACAAATGATGATGACGCAATTTGATGTAATAAAATGCCATTTTAACAGATATACAGTTATACCTGTTTCTTTAATAGTAGTTGTAGTGTTAATAGTATCTCAACATTTTCAGGAAAAGTTTCTCCTTTGTTCTAGTATTGATTAGTATCTGGGTTTACATGTTTGTGATAAAAAAAATAAAATAAATGTGTACAATATATATAAAACCAAATAGGCAAACGTGTTCTAATGTATGGATATGTAACTACTGTGATCACCCTTGATGTCAATTATGCGATAAATTAAAATTCCATTTACCGTCTACACCAGCGATCGTTGAGAAGATTGTCTGTCACCACAAACACGATCTTTCTTGACCGTTTTATGTTATCCACAATTGACTGGAGCTGTGGCATCCCTGCTATTGAATCTCTATCCTCCACACAGAACCTGCACGCTTTCTTCTCTAATGGAAGCATCCTTCTCTCCACCCAACCTGCATCCTGTTCTGCATGGATAACATACGCATCAAACTCAAAGGATCGCCCCTCTTCAGCTTTAGCATCGCTCAATCCCAACGTGCGACTGATTAGAATATTCCAATAGAACCGAATCCTCCATCCTTGGAATCGCACCACAAGAGCGATAAACATCAGCAGGATGACAATGGTGCTGCTTAAGATGTAGAGACTCTGGAATGGGGTCATGTCCTTGCAAGACAAAATATCAAACTTCATGATGGTCTTGTTGAAGTAGGATAGTGGCGTATTGCAAATGTACTCTTGTTGAAGATCTGGTACATTGGCACTGGTGGTATTGAGCCAGTTCACAAACCACATGATGCTGTCACATGTACAGTCAAATGGATTCTTGTCCATGACTAGTAACGTCAAGTTGGTCAATGGAGTCCAGAATACCTGAGGCCTCACCGAAGTTATCAGGTTCTTTTGCAGTTTTAATTCTTGCAATGAACGCAGATCATCAAAAACACCATCTTTCAGGCTATTTAGGAGATTACTAGCAAGACTTAATCGAGTAAGGTTGAACAGTCCTTTCAGGCCGTTTTCAGGAATCTCATCAAAACCATTGCTGTCCATTTGAAGTGTTACAAGATTCGGTGTGTATTTAAGAAACATTACCGGTCCACCAACATTTGCGCTCTTCCACAAGCGGGCGAAGTTGTTATGTTGGAGGTAAAGTTCTTTCAAGTTGACCAGCCCTTCTAACAATGTTTCCCGAATGTTTGCCATGTTATTGTTGCTTAGATCAAGAATAGTTAGTTTGGACAGAGGCTTGAATGGAGAAGGTTCCATGTTTAAGGTTGTGCCAATAAGACTTTGAGCTAGCATTAGTATCTTAAGGTTTGGAACATGCAGGAAGGAAGTTGAAGTCAAAGTAATTTGATTATTTTTAAACAAGTATAGTTCTTCAAGTTGTCGAAGTCCTACAAATTCTTCACCAGTGAAAGTTTGCTGAATGAAATTGTGTTCTAGATATAACTGTGAGAGATTGGTAAAAAATGTGAACGCTCCAGGATGAATTTTTCTGAGAGCAGTTCCTCTAAGGTTTAACTTCCTAAGAGGAGATGCCTTAAGTGAGGCAAATGTCAGATTAGTTATGATTTTATCTGAGGAAGTTTTTGTCCAACTTAAATCTAGATCTTTTAAACTTGTGAGACCACTGAAGGTATCCTCTGTGATTTTACCAATGGTAGATCCTTGCAATATTAGAGTCTGTACAGCACCCAAATGCTGGAAGGCAAAGTTCTCTATAACTTGCTGAGAGGAAACTTTGGAGTCAAAAGCTCGGGTCAAATTCAGCATCTTCAAACTCTGAAGTCCTTCAAATGTGCCATTTTTTAGTTGCTTAATCTTGTTGTCAGTCATAATTAGAGATTGAAGTTTGTGTAGCCCCAAAAAGGAACCAACTTCTATTTTATTCACTTGATTGTCAGATAAATCTATACTGCTTATACTGGTATTTATCAGCCCTGTGAATGTTGTATTGGTAAGGGAGAGTAGGTTCATCTTTCTGAGAGAAAGAGCTTCAATGTCAGACCCTGAAAGCTCGATGCAGATTTTTGAAAGAACTGGAGTTCCAATTTTGCTGCCATCTAATACAAGTGTACGGAGACTTGCAATGTTTTTGAAGCTTCCAGGTTCCACCTGAAACAAAACAAGTAAGACCAATCTATAGTAGGACAAAATCTGGTGCACATTTTGAAACAAAGAATATGAGAATATATAATATCTAGTTTCTACTTCCATCTTAAATCAAATTTCAGTTCCCTTTTCAGACAAAACAGACCTACTGTTGTCAGTGGTACAGAGGAGAAGTTGAGCACTAGTAATGATGATTGCCTGAGGAAGTTAAAGTCACCAGTCTTCAGAATCTTGATGTCATTGTTGTTTAGGCCCAGATATATCAGACTTAGAACCTCTGGCTTTATACTGAGCTCAGCAGACTTCAAGTTGTTTTTGGAAACATCCAGAAATTTTAAGGTCTGTAAAAAAAAAAAAAAAAAAGAAAGAAAAAGAAGCCCACCCAAAAAAGTTAGAAAATGTTTATCTAACAAAGTTAAAAATAAAAATAAAAAGTTTTTAAGTTTTTTTTTGTTTTTTTTTAACTTACCTAGATAACTGTTTGCAGTGTAATTACTACTAAGGTGTTGTTTGAAAAGATCTGTGTCTTTTGTGTAAATATGAGTATTTCAAAAACAGGAACTATATAAAGCCAAAATTTAACCTTTAAACTTGTAACAGAAAATAAAATACAAGACAATAATAAAAAATAATAATAAAGGTATAAAAATAAATAATAGAGATATATCAGATAGTGGTTATGTTCACATACACCATCTGATTATGATGTGATTTTTGGACATTAAAGATGAATTAAATAACACGTAAATAACACGTAACACATAACAAAATCTGATGTGAGTGACCAGAGGGACCATGATTAGAATTTGTGGCCATACCAGCTTATCAAAGCCTGATCCTGTCAGACCTCATAAGCTCAGTAAGGCCGGACCTGGTTAGTACTTGGATGGGAGACCGCTGGGAAAATCAGGTGCCACAGGGGGGCACCAGTTGCGTTGTGTCCTTAGGCAATGCACTGTCTAGTGTGGTGAGTGATGGTGGTGGTCAGATGGCACAGGCTGGATGGTGCAGATTGGCAGCCTTGCTTCCATCAGTCTGCCCCAGGGCAGCTGTGGCTACAATCGTAGCTTAGCACCACCGAGTGTGGACTCTGTAAAGAGCGTCCAGAAAAGCCCGATATAAAATTGATGCATTATTATTATTAGAAAGAGTTCGTATGATTTTGCTGTTTACATGTCATTTAAACAGTCTTATAACAAAACAAAAAAAAATGTAACTGCCACCACTGATACACTGTATGTATTATAACCAGTGGCTTAGTTGTCTGTTGTTGTACCTGTAGTCCTGCAAAAGGCTCTTGCTTTAATGTCAGCCTGTTGCTTGCCATGTTGAGCCACACCAGGTTTATACAGCGACTGAGATCTTGCGTCTTTGGTTCGAATATTTCGTTCTTCTCTAGGTTGAGAGTTTGAAGAAGAGGCACCATTTGACACATCTTCTCATCCAGTTTGCTGATGCTGTTGTAACCAGCATCTAAGCGCGTTAGCTCAGGGTAAGGAGTGAGCCACTGATGGTCGATCCGCACTAGCCGGTTGTGTGACATGTCCAGGCTGGAGATGTTTTGGGGCAAATTCTGAGGAATCTCACTGAGGCTCATGTGGCTGCAGTCTGCGTGACGTTCTTGCACCACACACGACTGCTTTTTGGGTGAGATGCATTCTGTCAGGCCAATGGTGAGGTAAAATGTGATTAACCATTGAAGATGTGGAAAATGTGAGGCAGTCATTGCCCTGAGAACCTGAAAAAAAAAAAAAGATAAAAAGAAAAGCCATTAAAAAAATCAATCATCAATACATAGATAACCCTATGTCCTGTCAACACCATATCAGCTTTGCACTGTTTCCTTATGACCTCTTGTATATAGCTATTTTATATTTTAGATATTTTATTACTTATTTTCTATTTTTACTTTTACTTGTCATATACATGTATATAATTTATGGCTTATTTGACACCTGTCTCTTGCTTTTTTTTTTTGATACTTATTATTTTTTATTATTATCATTTATATTTTTTGCTCTTTATTTTAATACATTGTGTCGTGTGAGCTACTGTGTCCAAGTAATTTCCCATGTGGAGCAATAAAGTTTGTCTAAGTCTAAGTCTAAATTAAAGAGACATTATTAGGCCTGTCATAATAATAAATTTTGAAGCACAATATATTGCTGAAAAAAATATAAACGATAAACAATAATACTGAAAACTGACACAATAAGCCTAAAGTAGAATTACTGGTTAAAAAAAACACCAATTGCAATAAATAAATAAATAGCAGAAGGAAAGAGTTTTGTAGTTAGTTAGTATCTACAATGACTCATGAAAGTTTTTTATTCAACTCTCTACAGACACTAGTACTAAGAAAAAGTATCCACGATAAATATTTCTCTGTCATGTATTGAATCATAACTCAATATAATAATTATCATAATAGGCTTAGAGATTATATTCAAATTGAAGGATTTTTTTTGTATTGCAATTTACGTTAAGAAACACACATCTTTATTTTACATGAATACTGTATGCCGCATATGCTTTTCTCAATGACAAAAGAACAGTATTCTTTTATGTTCAAGTTAGCACTGAACCTGTGCAAAGGAGATGCAGCTGCTCCTAATGTCCTTTTGGTAAGTAAATTTACTGCAGTTTCACAATTCATTTTTGCTCTTAGGAACTGAAAATAATCTTGACAAAATAAGTAAGTAGAATGTAATCAACATTTCATTGACCTCATCATTACAATCCAAACCAGCACACCACACCTACACTCGAAAATTAAACATGTAACTTAGTCATACCTTTTGCCTGTTCATGTTGCTTGTTTCGGCTTAGTGCACAAAATTAAGCTTCAAACTGGACACTGTGGCTCCAGAAGCACACGGAAATGAAAAACAAGTCCTGTTTCACATCCCTCTTTTGGTTAAGTTAACCTTTTGTTTTTTGTAAATATCACGCAATCTTTTAAGGAATCCAGATATTCAGTTATACCTGTTCAGCAACAATCTAATGGCTGAATCAATGTGGTGTAAATGTAGTGTTTTTTTGTTTTTTTTTTTGGTTGGTTGGTTTTTTTTTTACATATTTAAAACAATAACCCCAAACCCAAATTTTTTTTTATTTTTTTATGTATTTAGTTATAGATTACTGAATACTGTATTCAGAATACTTTCATGAGTTGCATTATATTGTAGTGCAAAAACATACAACATAGGATTAAAAACAACTTTATGTTTGTAGTTTGTTATGCATTTATTTATCACTGATTAAAGAAGGAAAAATCATACACTCACACCACATATTAGTTGTTTTGACTTGCTAAAACCGAGTAGTTTCAAGCTTGAATTGCATGATCAAATACCACAATGCATTCCTTTGATTTTAGGAAAATAACTATTTTCTGACTACCACCAAATGAAAGCATCAGTCAAATAATAGTAATAATAATTCTGGATACCTATTTTGATAGGCCTACATGTATTTAGTTGCTTCTCAACACTGCTCCATTTCAATGTGAACTCTCACCTGAAAAACAAAAAATGCAATATATTATTAAAGTATGTAAATTAGTAGAGGTAGAAATAGAATTGCCTTAGCCCAACTAAAGAGCATTTATTGTCACTGCACCTTTAACAACTGTACTCTTTGTTTGCTTCAAGGTTGGCAGGATAAAACTTGTCTCCGTGCGTCAACAAACCCCAATTGCAAACAACAGCTCCGGATCTTGTCTTTCTTCAGCTCTTCTTTTTAATTCAGAATAAATTTCCACACAAAGTTTTCTTTCTCAAGTATCAGAAACTTGGAATCCTCACCTGAGAAAGTTAGTTCCTCATATCAAGTCAAAGGCGAAAAAGTGAAAACAGGAAATACAGATGCTAGCTTTAGCAATGGGGTATTATTTGATACATCTTTGCATAACATAACATTGCGTGGCACAATGCGTCATCATGCGAGATCCACAGAAATGAAACTAGTGCAGGAATAGAAGGGCTGCAGTTTTGCGGTTTGACCAAAAGAGGGCAGCAGAGCACTGGAGGAAGACATAACAAACGGGATCCAGCCATGACGAGGACTGATGTAGGTACTAATTTTTATGGAGCCTTTACAACTGAAAAAAACTCAAAATAAATTATTATTATTATTATTATTATTATTATTATTATTATTATTATTATTATTATTACTAGTAGTAGTAGTAGTATTGTTATTGCACTGTGACATGCAAATAATAATAATAATAATAATAATAAAATAAAATGACATAAAATTAAATTAAAATAAATTTAAAAAATTGCCTGTGAGGGGGCTTACATTTCCCCATACCTGACTCTTTATTTGACGTGGAGGAGGACGTCTTTCTGCTTGTTTCCATGGAAATGTTATTCCTTTGGCTATAGTCTTACACAGTATGGCATAAAATGTATCTTTATCACCATGGACCAGAAAGTTAAATACTGTCACTTTAATGGAAAGTTGACTTAAAATAGAATTAAAATAAAACTTGTGCAGTGTTAAATGCCAGAGAATAAAAGTGAGCCTTAAACATTCCACGTGGGAGCTGTTCAGTGGGGAGGCAGTTTCCAAATAATTTTTCACTTCAAAAAAAAATTTTTTCGGGCTACATTTAGGCCTGTCACGATAACAAATTTTGAAGTTAGATATTGCAGAAAGAAATATAAATGATAATATTGAAACCAAACCCTGAAGCAGTATTACTCCCCCCAAAAAACTATTCAATATGTGCGTTATTGTTACAAAGTATGAACTGCAATAAATAAATAACCTAATGCAACTCTTAAGTAGTTAGTTTGTGTCTATAATGAGGCATTGAAGTTCATAATTCAAATTTCCACAGCTCATATCTCTCTAAGTCTATATAGTATTTATCGTGACAAGCTTACATTGCCACGTTCATACAATTTATCACAGTTTTTACACAGTGATGGTGTGGAAATGTATTAAAGAGTAGTAATTAATACCCCAGACCAGTATACATAGAGCTGCATTAACAGAAGTGCAAGAAAGATGGACATCCTCAGCACTCTCGCACTGGCTCATCAGCAGAAACTTAAAAGCACATATGAACTGCTGAGTTTGAGGTCAGTCCACATTTTAAAAGCATAAGTACAGCATACACTGATGCTGCCTTATATAGAAGCAAAATTTCACTTACAGGGCTAACACTTGAGTTATGAGAGGAGCAAAAGTAAAGGGATTAGTGTCAAAGGTCACACCATCCACATATTTTTTTAAATCTTGGGGTTTAAGATCAAAACATGCAAGAAAGACACAGGATTTAAAATCTAAACGTTTTTTTAAAAGTATTAAATAGTAGTCCAGGTAAACATAATGTGAAGCAATCTCTCCATCTGGTTCAGTTCCTAAATAAATAATTGGTTAATAGTTAGTGGTTAAATAAAGAGAGTGTATTTTACTTCTATAAAGTATTAATTACCAACTCATAACATCAGATCATGTTCTTTTATTGAATGCAGCGTGTTATCTTTTATTGAAACGGCCTTATTCACCAAAAACAACATATTAATCAGTTTTGGCAAGGTGGTGTGTACAGTTTTGAATTATCCTTTTGTAAATTGTAAATGAGAGCATGGATGATATAGGCTTGTGAGCTGAGCATTGGACAGAATATTACAGCTAACTGCAAGGAGGATTTGAATAGAGCCCATGAGAGATCACAAAATTACTGACACATGCATGAATGACATCTTGAGGGACCACATGACCTCTTCAGGCATGGTAGATGGTAAAAACCTAAAATATATTTTTTTGTATAATACCCCATCTTCAAAATCCTCAATGTTTTTATTTGTTTATGTCATTTAGCAAAAAGTCATTATGTCATGTACAAACAGTTGTCCCCTTAAATAGCATTGTAGATAGTCATGAAGAATGTAGAATGGGAAAATATAACATAACTTTGTCAAATACTATCTATTACTAGACATGTTGTGATGTTGTGAATGTTCTGAACATCAGCATAATAATATAGAAATTGGTCCTTTTAATGCACTACTGACTGTACCAAACCTGAACATGCTCTATTTGATTGTCTTTCTTTTAATCCTCATTTAGATTACATAAACAAGACAAGTGGGTCGGTTCAAAGCTCTCTGATTAAGCAAGTTTATTTAATGGAAGAAAATCAATTTACTACTAATAATACTGTAGTTACTTTTATACTGCAAAACTATTTATTGATTATTCTGTTTGGTAGATACATACATTTCCAAGCTAAAAATAATGTTTGGCTCAATAAATTGGTCATCGCTTGGCTGAAGTGTCTAGGTGAGCTTTCTCCAGACCAGGTTCCCCCAAGATTTATTGTCATTGTCAGTGAACAGAGTGACAATAGATAAAATGAAAATAAGGACATGCATTAAAATAAGGTAAATTAAAATAGGCTTTGATATACAAATACAAAAGAAACAAAATGGGTAGAAAAAGTATCAGTGTAAGGAGATTAAATATAGTTAATAATTATCATTCACATAGCCTCCTACAAGATCTAGTGACATTGTCACCCACTGCCCCTTACAGATTTCTTTGAAGCTAGGTGATGGATGGGTCAAATGCCAAGGACAAATTTCCCTCGATGGTCTAATACCTTTTATTTGTTCTGACCTTGAAGCTGCACACTCTGGACACTTTAGTACTCCCAGTTTTCGTTTGAACATAGTGAATTCTTTTATGCCCAAAAGAGGAGATGTGGGAAAGCGGAAACAATCAAATGAAAATAACTAGCCCAGGATACTCCCTTCAGAAACCCACCCTGTACAAAAGTCAAGGAAAATATTGTCCTAAGCCAACAGAGGCCACTAAACAATTTTAGTATTTTCATAATGTTGATTTTTGTATTTAATCAGCATTTACATTTGAACTTCTGAGGTTTGTTATTTGTAGTGTTAAACTGTGTCAGTGGTTGATGATAAATACTTAGTGGTAGAACATGTAAACATTTTAATTTACTTTTAAGTTACATACTTTATAAATATTTATATATTTGATGAAACATCATAACCATAGATGCTCCATTGAAATATGAATATTGAATAAGGAGTCTTTTTTGATGAGGTTATCTTCCACATCAGTCCTGGAATCAAAGGACAAGGCCGAGGACAGAGTGCTGTGATGTGCTGTGTGTATATAAAAGCAGCAGCCATGTTCACTGTGTCCTCTGCACAACCCACCACTGCAGTATATCACCCCCCTCACCTCTTCCTCCTCAGCCCCGCCTTCTGACTACTGCTGACCAATCATGTTTAGAGGTCAGTCTGCCTGCCTCACACTGGTGTCAACCACTTGCACATCGCTACATCAGTGACACATAGGACAGAAGAGAGAAAAGAGGAGGAGAGGGGCGTGGGCGGCACTGACACACACTGACATCAGCTACATCATTTGATTATGTGACAAAAACATGAATGCATATAATATCACTGTTCTCACCATGTGGTTCTGGTTCCCCTGAATCACTCAGACTTTACGGTGTAGTCAAAAGCCTTTAGACCTGGTATAATCTGAAGCCTTGATAATCTTCCAGCCTACACTGGGATCCTGAATCCAGGTCTGAACTGCTAATCATTCATTGTCTGCAGTCATGTGCTGCGTAGTAATGCCTTCATATTTGGCTTGTTATCAGAAAACGCACATTGTCAGCTGCTCTCAGTATGATCACCATGTCCTGTGTATTTGTATGTGACTGTGCTGTGCTGACTCAGACATAGTGGTTCATCAGGCTGACAGCTCATCGATACCACTGTGGAATCAGCTGTAGGGATCCACCACTCTGCACTGCTGTTTGTGCTCAAGAGAGGTGTGAGGAAGCATTGTTAAGGACCGCACCCATGGCACTTTTTTATGACTATCCATTGATTTCTTCATGGTGGACAGAAAACATGATGACTAAAGCTAAAAGATAAGACACATGTAAATGTTTTTTGATCTAAATCTATTTATTTTTGATAGCGTAAACCCATACAAAAAGAATAAATATACAATATATGACATAACAAACGAATCGTGACAGGAAATCCTGTGGGTAAAGTGTGATGCTATGAAGAACATAACTCCACAATATCTGATTGACCAAGGGTCAAACTGCTTATGGAGAACAGACATTTAACCCACTTTGTAGGTTGAGGTACTGCACTGAGCAAATACAGTGATTCTTCTACTTGTAGAAATCAATAGTAAATAGAGTCTCGGTTTTCATTAAAACATAGTTTAAATGGAAAGCCTTCCTGGATGTGAAAACTGTCATAAATTAGTCTAATATTTATAATTCTTTAATTGAATTATTTTTATTAAATTTACACTGCCGTCTTTGATGGAGATGTTGTCAAAGTCTCAACCATTACATTCCTTGGATATGTGTGAGGAGCTCAGGTCATGGAGCAGTTTGCGCTGGCAGACGAGTAAAAAGATTATACACTTCCAGACAGAGGGAACACTGCCATGTTAATCTGAGTCCACTGTGGTCAGACACTGCACAGTCCACCTGTCACTGATCCTTACGTAACACAGGGCAACTACGTCCATAAAGCCCAACTGGAGGGTGGCGGTTTCAAGCTTGTGCATGCTGTGTCCTTAGGTAAGGCTCTTCAACCACAAATATCATTCCAAGTTATAAGGTAAATGTTGACATTGTTTTTCATTTCTAAAAATATCAAAATTCATATTTAGATACAATTTTATTGATTTTATTCAGTTACATCAGGTAAAGTGCAGAACGTTCAACTGGGTTGAAAAGAATGTTACAGGTGAAGTTGAACCCAGGCAATGCTAAGGCACTGTACAGAATGTCTGGTATTTTAGACAAAGTAGGAAATAGATGTTGAATCATTAAGGAGTCTTATTAAGACCATCCAATACAATATTTTTTCTCCATGTCACAAATA